CTTAAAAACCATGAGAGTTAAAAGTAGGTCTAACCCTTGGTGTACACCGGAGCTAGCCAAAGTTATACACAATAGAGATGCTGTCTGGGCCAAAGCTAGATTTACAGACGAACTAAACCCAGATTGGCAATCATTTAGGAGATTGAGCAATCTATGTGTAAAACTAGTTAGAAAAGCAAAATCTGATAATTTATTTTATTACCTATCTGAATGTGCAGGGAATCCGGCCAAGTTCTGGAAACGTGTTCCATCTCTGAAGAGGGTCTTCTCTTCCCCATCAAATTCATCTATTCTTTGGCACCATTACTGATAAAATTAATATAATTAATGCATTTAATCACCATTTTATTTCTGCAGGCTATATTTTTGACTCAGTTTCTAAGCCAACTCACTATAAGTGTGGTCTGGATATTAATGGAGATAATTTGCTGATTGATACTGAACATTTTGTTCTGGGGTTTTCATTCAGGCAATTCCATGTTAAGGAAGTCCTTGATGCCTTGCTGGCATTAGACATTAAGAAATCTAAAAGGGCAGTTAAAGTGTGCAGCGACCCTCATTGCTGCCTCAGTAACTCACATTTTAAATTTGACATTGTCTTCAGGAATTATTCCCAAAGTATGGAAATATGCGTATGTGTTGCCACTCCATAAGAGTGGTGATAGTAGTGATCTTGACAATTACCGACTGATTTCTAGGCTTCCTTGTCTAGCTAAGATTCTTGAGTCATTGGAAAATATGCAGCTTAGTTCTTTCTTTTTTTTTACTGAGAAATGTATTTTAAATGTAAACCAATCAGTGTTTAGACCAGGGCATAGCCACCACATTAGTTGTGAATGACCTTATCAATGCTTTGGATGCTAAAATGAGCTGTGCTTCTTTTTACGATTTACATAAATGCGAATGGTCAATCTGTTAAAAATGGTGATCTTCATTTGTATGCGGATGACACTATTATGTATGCAATTGCTCCGACTGCTGATTTAGCTGTGTCAAGGTTACGGTCTGATTTTGCAGCTGTTCAGGAAGCCCTTACGAATTTAAAGCTTGTACTTAATACAGGCAAAACTAAATACATGCTGTTTTCAAAGTCTCGTAAAAGTATCTCAGTTGGGTTACATCTTCACTCCTTGAATGCAAGGCCCTGCATACAATACCTTAGTATTTGGATAGACAATGATCTATCGTTTAAGAAACATACAAATGATCTTGTTAAGAAGCTTACATGTAAAGTGGGTTTCTTATATAGAAATAAAGCTTGTTCTTCTCTGGCTAGCAGGAAGCGAATTGTAGAATCAACTTGTCTACCTGTTCTTGACTATGGTGATACCATCTACTGAAGTGCAACTGACTCTACTCTAAAATCCCTTGATTCTGTTTATCATAGCGCCCTTTGTTTTATTACATCTGAGAGTTTTAATACTATCCGATGCATCACTGCATCCTGCATCCTTCACCAAAAAGTTGGCTGGACCTCTTTAAAGACACGTAGATCACTTTATTACCCTCTTTTTGTTTATAAAGCCTTAATCCACAAGCTTCCAACATACTTAACATCTTTGTTGAAATGTAGAATTTCAGGTTATAATACAAGGTCACGGACTTGGTTAATGAAGATGACTCCCTTGGTAACCACAGAGTTCGGGAGATCTGCTTTTTCATATCAGGCACCTCATGTGCGGAATAGTCTCCAGTTGACACTTCGTTTAGATGATTTGGGGTCCCTGGGTCAATTTAGGAAATCGGTTGAGGATTTTTATAGAGGTGAATGTGTTTGTTTTATTTGATTATAATGGCTAATGTGTATATTGTATGTATATTGTGTAATATTGTGTAATTTTGTGTATTTTGTATATAATTGTGTGTGCTGATGTGACTGTTGTTCCCAGGGCACGTTTGTGAAAGAGACCTAGGTCTCAATGTGTCTCCCTGGTTAAATAAAAGTTTAAAAAATAAATAAATAATACACAGCTACACAAACACAGCCACACACACAGCTACACAGACAGCTACGCATAAACAGCTAAACACACACACAGCTACACACTCCATCTGACCTTGTATCCGTTCTCCTTGGCGAAGCTGAGAATGACTTCTCTACGTTCTATAGTGGTGTTGGTGGCATCAAACACCTGAGGGCATGTACATCATACTGCTTCATACTAGTTAATCGAAGTTCAAACGGGTTCAAATTGATCACAGGTGTCAAACTCATTCCATTATGGGCCAAATGTCTGAGGGTTTTCAGTTCTCCCTTGCACTTGATTAATCAATTAAGGTCACTGATTAGCGGCCTGGTTGTCAAGGTCTTAATTGTACAAAAATTGAAAGGAAATAACAAAAACCAGCAGACACTCAGCCCGCCATGGAATGAATTTGGCACCCCTGATATACACCATATATATAATGTAGGTTCATATACAGTGGCTTGCGAAAGTATTTACCCCCTTGGCATTTTTCCTATTTTGTTGCCTTACAACCTGGAATTAAAATAGAGTTTTTGGGGGTTTGTATCATTTGATTTACACAACATGCATACAGTGGGGAAAAAAGTATTTAGTCAGCCACCAATTGTGCAAGTTCTCGAGTGGACAGAGGAGCCTCTTAAAGAAGAAGTTACAGGTCTGTGAGAGCCAGAAATCTTGCTTGTTTGTAGGTGACCAAATAATTATTTTCCACCATAATTTGCAAATAAATTCATTAAAATTCCTACAATGTGATTTTCTGGATTTTTTTTCCTCATTTTGTCTGTCATAGTTGACGTGTACCTATGATGAAAATTACAGGCCTCTCTCATCTTTTTAAGTGGGAGAACTTGCACAATTGGTGGCTGACTAAATAATTTTTCCCCCACTGTACGTATTATTTGATTTATACAACATGCCTACCTCTTTGAAGATGCAAAATATTTTTTGGGGTGAAACAAACAAGAAAGAAGACAAAAAAACAGAAAACTTGAGCGTGCATAACTATTCATGATCTGTCACATGATCTCAGTGTACATACACCTGTTCTGAAATGCCCCAGAGTCTGCAACACCACTAAGCAAGGGACACCAACAAGCAAGCGGCACCATGAAGACCAAGGAGCTCTCCAAACAGGTTGTGGAGAAGTACAGATCAGGGTTGGGTTATAAAAAAAATATCAGAAACTTTGAACATCCCATAGAGCACCATTAAATCCATTATAGAAAATGGAAAGAATATGGCACCACAACAAACCTGCCAAGAGAGGGCCGCCCACCAACACTCACAGACCAGGCAAGGAGGGCATTAATCAGAAAGGCAACAAAGAGACCAAAGATAACCCTGAAGGAGCTGCAAAGCTCCATAGCGGAGATTGGAGTATCTGTCCATAGGACCACTTTAAGCTCCACAGAGCTGGGCTTTACGGAAGAGTGGCCAGAAAAAAGCCATTGCTTAAAAAAATAAGCAAACACGTTTGGTGTTCGCCAAAAGGCATGTGGGAGACTCCCCAAACATATGGAAGAAGGTACTCTGGTCAGATGAGACTAAAATTGAGCTTTTTGGCCATCAAGAAAAACGCTATGTCTGGCGCAAACCTAACACCTCTCATCACCCCGAGAACACCATCCCCACAGTGAAGCATGGTGGTGGCAGCATCATGCTGTGGGGATGTTTTTCATCGGCAGGGACTGGGAAACTGATCAGAATTGAAGGAATGATGGATGGCGCTAAATACATGGAAATTCTTGAGGGAAACCTGTTTCAGTTTTCCAGAGATTTGAGACTGGGACGGAGGTTCACCTTCCAGCAGGACAAGGACCCTAAGTATCCTGCTAATGCAACACTTGAGTGGTTTAAGGGGAAACATTTAAATGTCTTGGAATGGCCTAGTCAAAGCCCAGACCTCAATCCAATTGAGAATCTGTGGTATGACATAAAGATTGCTGTACACCAGCGGAACCCATCCAACTTGAAGGAGCTGGAGCAGTTTTGCCTTGAAGAATGGGCAAAAATCCCAGTGGCTAGATGTGCCAAGCTTATAGAGACATACCCCAAGAGACTTGTAGCTGTAATTGCTGCAAAAGGTGTCTCTACAAAGTATTGCCTTTGTGGTGGTGAATAGTTATGCATGCTCAAGTGTACTGTTTTTTTGTCTTATTTCTTGTTTGTTTCACAATACAAAATATTTTGCATCTTGAAAATGGTAGGCATGTTGTGTAAATCAAATGATACAAACCCCCCAAAAATCATTTTTAATTACAGGTTGTAAGGCAACAAAATAGGAAAAATGGCAAGGGGGGTGAATACTTTTGCAAGCCACTGTATACAGCGGGGTCCGGAATTATTGACACCCTTGATAAAGATTAGCAAAAATTACCGTATAAAATCAAATAATTTTGGTCTAAGATCTCTCCCAACATGTTCTCCATTCTCATAAAACATTTTAGAAAAAGGCTCAGTGCCGTTATCCTCACAAGATCAGGTATTAAAAGGTATTGAAAACAGGGGTGGCAATAATTTTGACCCCTTCCCAGAAAAAATATATTACTTGTTAAACCATATCTCTGTCTCTGAGCAATTGTATTAGCGTAGAACAATATAGTTTCCTACATTTTTGGTGTATACAATATAGCTCACTATTTTAATAATACATTTTACACAGTCATTTTTACTCATCCTTATCAAGGGTGTCAATAATTTTGGACCACATTGTAGGTTCATAAAGATTCCATATTGCTTCTAATGATTCCATGGGGGTTACTCACTGCCACCTGTCCTTGTTCCTGCATGAAGTAGGCACACACATCCTTCAGAGCCGCAATGGCACATGCCCTACACACACGCACGCACGCACACAGACACAAACACACACAGTGCGCTTGCATCATACTCTTAGGACAGACTAATTAATATTCTAATAGGCTGTCTGGTCGGTTCATACTCATAACAGGCTGTCATATTAGTTTATACTCTGATAACAGGCTTGTGATTGGTTCATACTCTACTAACAGGCTTTGTGATTGGTTCATACTTGCGTATCTTCATGGCCTCTTGGTTGTCAGGTCTGAAGAACTCATAGCTCTTATAGGACTGGGTCGCATCCCGCCGGTACTGACCTACATTAAACACTGGAGAGGACAGGACCACACACACACACACAGTGTGGTCTGTACAGAGTGGTCTGTGGACTATTTGTAATGAAGCAATGAAACAGTTGTGGTATATTGTATTGTGTTGTGGTGTGGTACCTGTAGTTGGAACTCCTATCCAGTTGAAATATGTGGTTAAGATTGTGTGTTATATTGTGTTTGGTTGTCTTGTGTTGTCTGGTTAACATCTTGTGGTACCTTTAGTTGGATATCTGGTGAACATTTTGTGTTGTGTAATTTTTTTAACCCTTATTTTACCAGGTAGCTTGACTGAGAACACATTCTCATTTTCAGCAACAACCTGGATAATACTTACGGGGGACAAATGAGCCAGTTGGAAGCTGCGGATTATGTGGCTATTAGGGCTGATTGGGAATTTAGCCAGGACAGTGTGGTTAACACCCCTACGATAAGTGCCATGGGATCTTTAGTGACCATAGAAAGTCAGGACACCCGTTTAAAATCCCATCTGAAAGACGGTACCCTACACAGGGTAATGTCCCCAATCACTGCCCTGGGCATTGGGATAAAACATTTTAGACCAGAGGAAAGAGTGCCTCCTACTGGCCCTCCAAAAACAACTTCCAGCAGCATCTGGTCTCCCATCCAGGGACCGACCAGGAACAACCCTGCAAGACAGCAGTGGGATGCAGGGTGGTGTGCTGCTAGTACGCTGCTGTTGTGGTGTGTTGTGATGTGTTGTGGTACCTTTAGTTGGAACTCCTATCCAGTTGAGATATCTGGTTAACATATTGTGTTGTATTGTGTTGTGGTGTGTTGTGTTGTGGTGTGTTGTATTGTCATGTGCTGTGTTATGTTGTGTTGTGGTCTTGTCTTGTCTTGTGTCGTATTGTGTTGTGTTGTATTGTGTGGTATTGGGATTTTGTGTTGCGTGGTATTGTGTTGTCTTGTCTTGTTTTGTCTTGTGTTGTGGTTTGTTGTGTGGTGTTGTGTTGAATTGTGTTGTTGGAAGTCCTATATAGTTGAGTTATCTGGTTAAATGATTGTGTTGTGTTGTCTTGTGTGGTATTGTGTTGTGGTGTGTTGTGTCTCGTGTGGTCTTGTGTTGTGTTTTGTTGTCTTGCCTTGTATTGTGTTGTGTGGTAGGTGTGGTCTTGTCTTGTGTTGTTTTGTTTTGTGTTGTAGTTTGTTGTGTTGTATTGAGATGTGGTGTGGTACCTTTAGTTTATTGTAGCCATTTTCTGCAGCCTGTCAACTATGCCTCTGTCTATCCCTGTTCTCTCCTCTCCGCACAGGCTATACAAACGCCTCACACCGCGTGGCTGCTGCCTCTCTAACCTGGTGGTCCCTGCACGCACCACCCACGTGGAGTTCCAGGTCTCAGGCAGCCTCTGGAACCAACAAGGCAGAGTTCATCTCAGCCTATGCTACCCTCCAGGCCCTCGACTTCTTGGCGCTGATGGAAACATGGATTACCACTGAAAACACTGCTACTCCTACTGCTCTCTCCTCGTCTGACCATGTGTTCTCGCATACCCCGAGAGCATCTGGTCAGCGGGGTGGTGGCACAGGAATCCTCATCTCTCCCAAGTGGACATTCTCTATTTTTCCCCTGACCCATCTGTCTATCTCCTCATTTGAATTCCATGCTGTCACAGTCACTAGCCAATTTAAGCTTAATATCCTTGTCATTTATCGCCCTCCAGGTTCCCTTGGAGAGTTCATCAATGAGCTTGACGCCTTGATAAGTTCCTTTCCTGAGGATGGCTCACCCCTCACAGTTCTGGGGGACTTCAACCTCCCTACGTCTACCTTTGACTCATTTCTCTCTGCCTCCTTCTTTCCACTCCTCTCCTCTTTTGACCTCACCCTCTCACCGTCCCCCCTACTCACAAGGCAGACAATACGCTTGACCTCATCTTTACTAGATGCTGTTCTTCTACTAATCTCACTGCAACTCCCCTCCAAGTCTCCGACCACTACTTTGTATCCTTTTCTCTCTCGCTCTCCTCCAACACTACTCACTCTGCCCCTACTCAGATGGTAATGCGCCGTCGCAACCTTCGCTCTCTCTCTCCCGCTACTCTCTCCTCTTCCATCCTATCATCTCTTCCCTCTGCTCAAACCTTCTCCCCCCAATCTCCTGATGTTGCCTCCTCAACCCTCCTCTCCTCCCTTTCTGCATCCTTTGACTCTCTATGTCCCTTATCCTCCCGGCCGGCTCGGTCCTCCCCTCCAGCTCCGTGGCTTGATGACTCATTGCGAGCTCACAGAACAGGGCTCTGGGCAGCCGAGCGGAAATGGAGGAAAACTAGACTCCCTGCGGACCTGGCATCTTTTCACTCCCTCCTCTCTACATTTTCTTCATCTGTTTCTGCTGCTAAGGCCACTTTCTACCACTCTAAATTCCAAGCATCTGCCTCTAACCCTAGGAAGCTCTTTGCCACCTTCTCCTCCCTGCTGAATCCTCCTCCCCCTCCCCCCTCCTCCCTCTCTGTGGATGACTTCGTCAACCATTTTGAAAAGAAGGTTGACAACATCCGATTCTCGTTTGTTCAGTCAAATGACACTGCTGGTCCTGCTCACACTGCCCTACCCTATGCTTTGACTTCTTTCTCCCCTCTCTCTCCAGATAAAATCTTGCGACTTGTGACGGCCGGCCGCCCAACAACCTGCCCGCTTGACCCTATCCCCTCCTCTCTTCTCCAGACCATCTCCGGTGACCTTCTCCCTTACCTCACCTCGCTGATCAACTCATCCTTGACCACTGGCTATGTCCCTTCCGTCTTCAAGAGAGCGAGAGTTGCACCCCTTCTCAAAAAACCAACACTCGATCCCTCTGATGTCAACAACTACAGACCAGTATCCCTTCTTTCTTTTCTCTCCAAAACTATTGAGCGTGCCGTCTTTAGCCAACTCTCTTGCTATCTCTCTCAGAATGACCTTCTTGATCCAAACCAGTCAGGTTTCAAGACTGGTCATTCAACTGAGACTGCTCTTCTCTGTGTCACGGAGGCTCTCCGCACTGCTAAAGCTAACTCTCTCTCCTCTGCTCTTGTCCTTCTAGACCTGTCTGCTGCCTTTGATACTGTGAACCATCAGATCCTCCTCTCCCCCCTCTCCGAGCTGGGCATCTCCGGCGCGGCTCACTCTTGGATTGCGTCCTACCTGACCGGTCGCTCCTACCAAGTGGCGTGGCGAGAAGCTGTCTCCGCATCACGTGCTGTCACCATTGGTTGCCCCCAGGGCTCAGTTCTAGGCCCTCTCCTATTCTCGCTATACACCAAGTCACTTGGCTCTGTCATATCCTCACATGGCCTCTCCTATCATTGCTACGCAGACGACACACAACTAATCTTCTCCTTTCCCCCTTCTGATAACCAGGTGGTGAATCGCATCTCTTCATGTCTGGCAGACATATCAGTATGGATGACGGATCACCACCTCAAGCTGAACCTTGGCAAGACGGAGCTGCTCTTCCTCTCGCCATCACGGTTAACAACTCTGTTGTGTCCTCCTCCCAGAGTGCGAGAGCCTTGGCGTGACCCTGGACAACACCCTGTCGTTCTCCGCTAACATCAAGGCGGTGACCCGATCCTGTAGGTTCATGCTCTACAACATTCGGAGAGTATGACCCTGCCTTACACAGGAAGCGGCACAGGTCCTAATCCAGGCACTTGTCATCTCCCGTCTGGATTACTGCAACTCGCTGTTGGCTGGGCTCCCTGCCTGTGCCATTAAACCCCTACAACTCATCCAGAATGCCGCAGCCCGTCTGGTGTTCATCCTTCCCAAGTTCTCTCACGTCACCCCGCTCCTCTGCACACTCCACTGGCTTCCAGTTGAAGCTCGCATCTGCTACAAGACCACGGTGCTTTCCTACGGAGCTGTGAGGGGAACGACACCTCCGTACCTTCAGGCTCTGATCAGTCCCTACACCCAAACGAGGGCATTGCGTTCATCCACCTCTGGCCTGCTGGCTCTCTACCTCTGCGGAAGCACAGCTCCCGTACACCCCCGTCAAAACTGTTCGCTGCTCTGGCACCCCAATGGTGGAACAAGCTCCCTCACGACGCGAGGACAGCGGAGTCACTCACCACCTTCCGGAGACATTTGAAACCCCACCTCTTTAAGGAATACCTGGGATAGGATAAAGTAATCCTTCTACCACCCCCCCCCCCCCCCCCTTACCCCACCCCACCAAAAAAAAAAACATTGTAGTGGTTATCCCACTGGCTATAAGGTGAATGCACCAATTTGTAAGTCGCTCTGGATAAGAGCGTCTGCTAAATGACGTAAATGTAAAAATGTTTAGTTGGAACTCCTATCCTGTTGAGATATCTGGATAAGATCTTGTGTTGTATTGTGCTGTGTTGTGTTGTGTTGTGTTGTATTGTGGTGTGTTGTGTTGTGTTGTCCTGTGCTGTGCTGTGCTGTGTTGTGGTCATGACTTGTGTTGACTTGTGTTGTATTGTGTTGTGTGGTATTGTGTTGTTGTGTTGTCTTGTGTTGTCTAGTGTTGTGTGATATTGTGTTGTGTGGTATTGTGTTGTGTGGTCTTCTGTTGTGTTGTCCTGTGTTGTTTTGTCTTGTGTGGTATTGTGTTGTTGTGTTGTCTTCTGGTGTTGTGTTGTTTTGTGTTGTGGTGTGTTATGTTGTCTTGTGTTGTATTGTGGTGTGTTGTGGTACCTTTAGTTGGAACTCCTATCCAGTTGAGGTATCTAGTTAATGTGTTGTGTTTTGTTTTGTTGTGTTGTGTTGGGTAGTGTGGTATTATGTGGTATTGTGTTGTGTTGTGTTAAATTGTGTTGTGTTGTGGTACCTTTAGTTGGAACTCTTATCCAATTGAGGTATCTGGTTGACTTCTTGTGTTGTGTTGTTTTGTGTTGTGTTGTCCTGTTCTGTGCTGTGCTGTGTTGTTGTGGTGTGTTGTGGTGTGTGGTCTTGTCTTGTATTGTGTTGTGTTTTGTGGTATTGTGTAGTTTTGTTGTGTTCAGTTGTGTTGTCTTGTGTTGTTGTGTGTGGTCATGTCTTGTGTTATATTGTTTTGGGTTGTGTTTCGTTGTGTTGTCTAGTGTTGTGTTGTGATGTGTTGTCTTGTCTGCTGTTGTGCTGTGGTGTGTTGTGGTGTCTTGTATTCTATTGTCTTGTGTTGTGTTGTGGTACCTTTAGTTGGAACTCCTATCCAGTAGAGATATCTGGTTAACATCTTGTTTTGTATTGTGTTGTATTTTGGTGTTTTGTGTTGTGGTGTGTTGTATTGTCCTGTGCTGTGTTGTGTTGTCTTGTGTTGTGGTGTGTGGTCTTGTCTTGTGTTGTATTGTTTTGTGTGGTATTGTGGTATTGTGTTAAATTGAGTGGTATTGTGTTGTTGTGTTGTGTTATTGTGTTGAATTGTGTTGTTTGTCTTGTGTTGTGTTTTGTTGTATTGTGTTGTTGGAACTCCTATATAGTTGAGGTATCTGGTTAAATGATTGTTTTCTGTTGTCTTCTGTTTTGTTTTGTTGTGTTGTCTTGTGTTGTCTTGTGTTGTATTGTGTTGTGTGGTATTGTGTTGTGGTGTATTGTGTTTTGTGTGGTATTGTGTTGTGGTGTGGTGTGTTGTCTTGTCTTGTGGTGTGTTGTGTTGTGTTGTGGTACCTTTAGTATGAACTCCTCTCCAGTTGAGGTATCTGGTTATCGTCTTGTGTTTTTTTTTTTTTGTGTTGTGTTGGGTAGTGTGGTATTGCAGTGGGGGAAAAAAGTATTTAGTCAGCCACCAATTGTGCAAGTTCTCCCACTTAAGAAGATGAGGTAGGCCTGTAATTTTCATCATAGGTACAGTGGGGAGAACAAGTATTTGATACACTGACGATTTTGCTGGTTTTCCTACTTACAAAGCATGTAGAGGTCTGTAATTTTTATCATAGGTACACTTCAACTGTGAGAGACGGAATCTAAAACAAAAATCCAGAAAATCACATTGTATGATTTTTAAGTAATTAATTTGCATTTTATTGCATGACATAAGTATTTGATCACCTACCAACCAGTAAGAATTCCGGCTCTCACAGACCTGTTCGTTTTTCTTTAAGAAGCCCTCCTGTTCTCCACTCATTACCTGTATTAACTGCACCTGTTTGAACTCATTACCTGAATAAAAGACACCTGTCCACACACTCAATCAAACAGACTCCAATCTCTCCACAATGGCCAAGACCAGAGAGCTGTGTAAGGACATCAGGGATAAAATTGTAGACCTGCACAAGGCTGGGCTGGGCTACAGGACAATAGGCAAGCAGCTTGGTGAGAAGGCAACAACTGTTGGCGCAATTATTAGAAAATGGAAGAAGTTCAAGATGACGGTCAATCACCCTCGGTCTGGGGCTCCATGCAAGATCTCACCTCGTGGGGCATCAATGATCATGAGGAAGGTGAGGGATCAGCCCAGAACTACACGGCAGGACCTGGTCAATGACCTGAAGAGAGCTGGGACCACAGTCTCAAAGAAAACCATTAGTAACACATTACACCGTCATGGATTAAAATCCTGCAGCGCACGCAAGGTCCCCCTGCTCAAGTCAGCGCATGTCCAGGCCCGTCTGAAGTTTGCCAATTACCATCTGGATGATCCAGAGGAGGAATGGGAGAAGGTCATGTGGTCTGATGAGACAAAAATAGAGCTTTTTGGTCTAAACTCCATTCGCCGTGTTTGGAGGAAGAAGAAGGATGAGTACAACCCCAAGAACACCATCCCAACCGAGACGCATGGAGGTGGAAACATCATTCTTTGGGGATGCTATTCTGCAAAGGGGACAGGATGACTGCACCATATTGAGGGGAGGATGGATGGGGCCATGTATCGCAAGATCTTGGCCAACAACCTCCTTCCCTCAGTAAGAGCATTGAAGATGTGTCGTGGCTGGGTCTTCCAGCATGACAACGACCCGAAACACACAGCCAGGGCAACTAAGGAGTGGCTCCGTAAGAAGCATCTCAAGGTCCTGGAGTGGCCTAGACAGTCTCCAGACCTGAACCCAATAGAAAATCTTTGGAGGGAGCTGAAAGTCCGTATTGCCCAGCGACAGCCCCGAAACCTGAAGAATCTGTAGAAGGTCTGTATGGAGGAGTGGGCCAAAATCCCTGCTGCAGTGTGTGCAAACCTGGTCAAGACCTACAGGAAACGTATGATCTCTGTAATTGCAAACAAAGGTTTCTGTACCAAATATTCAGTTCTGCTTTTCTGATGTATCAAATATTTATGTCATGCAATAAAATGCAAATGAATTACTTAAAAATCATACAATGTGATTTTCTGGATTTCCGTCTCTCACAGTTTAAGTGTACCTATGATAAAAATAACAGACCTCTACATGCTTTGTAAGTAGGAAAACCTGCAAAATCGGCAGTGTATCAAAAACGTGTTCTCCCCACTGTTCATGTCAACTATGACAGACAAATTGAGATTTTTTTTCTCCAGAAAATCACATTGTAGGATTTTTTATGAATTTATTTGCAAATTATGGTGGAAAATAAGTATTTGGTCACCTACAAACAAGCAAGATTTCTGGCTCTCACAGACCTGTAACTTCTTCTTTAAGAGGCTCCTCTGTCCTCCACTCGTTACCTGTATTAATGGCACCTGTTTGAACTTGTTATCAGTATAAAATACACCTGTCCACAACCTCAAACAGTCACACTCCAAACTCCACTATGGCAAAAACCAAAGAGCTGTCAAAGGACACCAGAAACAAAATTGTAGACCTGCACCAGGCTGGGAAGACTGAATCTGCAATAGGTAAGCAGCTTGGTTTGAAGAAATCAACTGTGGGAGCAATTATTAGGAAATGGAAGACATACAAGACCACTGATAATCTCCCTCGATCTGGGGCTCCACGCAGGATCTCACCCCGTGGGGTCAAAATGATCACAAGAACGGTGAGCAAAAATCCCAGAACCACACGGGGGGACCTAGTGAATGACCTGCAGAGAGCTGGGACCAAAGTAACAAAGCCTACCATTAGTAACACACTACGCCGCCAGGGACTCAAATCCTGCAGTGCAAGACGTGTCCCCCTGCTTAAGCCAGTACATGTCCAGGCCCATCTGAAGTTTGCTAGAGTGCATTTGGATGATCCAGAAGAGGATTGGGAGAATGTCATATGGTCAGATGAAACCAAAATAGAACTTTTTGGTAAAAACTCAACTCGTCGTGTTTGGAGTACAAGGAATGCTGAGTTACATCCAAAGAACACCATACCTACTGTGAAGCATGGAGGTGGAAACATCATGCTTTGGGGCTGTTTTTCTGCAAAGGGACCAGGACGACTGATCCGTGTAAAGGAAAGAATGAATGGGGCCATGTATCGTGAGATTTTGAGTGAAAACCTCCTTCCATCAGCAAGGGCATTGAAGATGAAACGTGGCTGGGTCTTTCAACATGACAATGATCCCAAACACACCGCCCGGGCAACGAAGGAGTGACTTCGTAAGAAGCATTTCAAGTCTGTGTTGCCCAGCGACAGCCCCAAAACATCACTGCTCTAGAGGAGATCTGCATGGAGGAATGGGCCAAAATACCAGCAACAGTGTTTGAAAACCTTGTGAAGACTTACAGAAAACGTTTGACCTGTGTCATTGCCAACAAAGGGTATATAACAAAGTATTGAGAAACTTTTGTTATTGACCAAATAATTATTTTTCACCATAATTTGCAAATACATTCATAAAAAATCCTACAATGTGATTTTCTGGATTTTTTTTCTCATTTTGTCTGTCATAGTTGATGTGTACCTATGATGAAAATTACAGGCCTCTCTCATCTTTTTAAGTGGGAGAACTTGCACAATTGGTGGCTGACTAAATACTTTTTTTCCCCACTGTATGTGGTACTGGGTTATGTTGTGTTAAAATAAGTTGTGTTGTGGTACCTTTAGTTGGAACTCCTATCCAATTGAGGTATCTGGTTAACGTCTTGTGTTGTGTTGTTTTGTGTTGTTTTGTCTTGTGTTGTGTTGAGTTGTGTTGTGCTTCCTTTAGTTGGAACACCAATCCAGTTGAGGTATTTGGTTAACTTCCCATTGTGTTGTATGGTATTGTGTTGTTGTGTGTTGTGTTGTCTTGTGTTGCCACGTGTTGTGTTGTCTTGTGTTGTGTACTTTTAGTTGGAACTCCTATCCAGTTGTTGTATCTTTTAAACATGTTGTGTTTTGTTGTGTTGTGTTGGGTTGTGTGGTATTGTGTGGTATTAGGTTATGTTGTGGTACCTTTCAGTTGGAACTCCTATCCAGTTGAGGTATCTGGTTAACTTATTGTGTTGTGTTATGTGGTATTTTGGTGTGTTGTATGGTATTGTGTTGTGTTGGGTTGTGGTACCTTTAGTTAGAACTCCTATCCCGTTGAGGTATCTTGTTAACGTGTTGTGTTGTGTTTTGTTGTATTATGTTGTGTTGCGTTGTGTGGTATTGTTTTGTGATGTGTTTAATTGTGTTGTGTTGTGTTGTGGTACCTTTAGTTGGAACGCCTATCCCGTTTAGGTATTTGGTTAACGGGTTGTGTTGTGTTTTGTTGTATTGGGTTGTGTTGGGTTGTGTGGTATTGTGTGGTAATGGGTTGTGATGTGTTTAATTATGGTGTGTTGTGTTGTGGCACCTTTTGTTGGAACTCCTATCCAGTTGAGGTATCTGGTTAACTTCTGTGTTGGGTTGTGTTGTGTGTGGTATTGCGTGGTTTTGTGTGGTATTGTGTTGTGTGTGGTATTGTGTCGTGTTGTGTGGTATTGTGTTGTGTTGTGGTACCTTTAGTGGGAACTCCTATCCAGTTGAGGTATCTGGTTAACTTCTTGGAGATGTAGGTCTTCCCTCTAGCAGGCAGCCCCACCATCACAATCACAGTAGGAGAGTTAGTGAACTGGGGGACGGATGCTGAAACACACACACACACACACACACACACACACACACACACACACACACACACACACACACACACACACACACATACAATATGGATTTAACACTGACATGACACACACATACACATGTATTGGAGTTATAAAAAGATCACAGAACACACACACATCAGTTTTAGACAAATGGATAGACCATTTAGCACACACACGCACACATACACGGCCTTGGTCTTAGGGGTGAACGGCCCTCAGGTCTCTCTCAGTGAGGTACACAGTGTTCCATAATGCAAGTCCTAACCTGACCCCAACACATACACACACACACGCACACCATTTCAAACAATACCAAAGTTCCGCAGGTTACGTTCACCAACCTGTACACTACAGGTAATGAACCACACAGGTGTGTGTCTGGTGTTTCTGTGTGTATATTTGTGTGTGTGTGTGTGTGTGTGTGTGTACTTACATCCTCTACGTTGGTACAGCTTGCTACTCATGGAGGGAATCCAAATCTTCTCTAAAGGTTTCTGAGTTAGCTTGGTCTGCCTCTGAGACATGGTTTACAAAACACAGTGTCCGTGTGTAAGAGAGAGAGAGAGAGACGGGGAGAGACAGAGATAGTGAGAGACGGAGAGAGAGACAGAGAGAGTAGCCTGGAGAGAGACAAGGTGTGAGAGAGAGAGTTTGTGAAACTGTCTGTGTGGGTCACCTCATGATGGGAGCGGCCTAAGTCTGTCTGTGTGTGTGTGGTATTGGTACATGCTCCTCCTCCAAGTGTGTTACAGGGTGTGAGGTTATAGAGATATAGGGGCTACTTCCTGAGTGGGAGGAGCTACAGTACCAGGGCCTTATAGAACTGAAGGAATAGAACAGATATTCGCCAAACACTCTGAGCTACCCCACCAAGACCACTTCAACAGATATTCACCAAATGTTGCCTTGGTTTGTGGGAATGTCAGCTCTACTCATGATGCTAATTGTCTGATTCTCTAATTCTCTGATTCTCTAATTCTCTGATTCTTTAATTACGCAATTAAAGAATCAGAGAATTAGAGAATCAGACAATTGCACAAAACGATGTGACATCTAGATTGTCCACATTTTCACCATCATTGTAGCCCTAGTTATCTTGTTGCTTTGACAAAGTCATATCTGAAGATCATTATTTCATTAGTGATGTATTTATGTCTCTCCCTCATTTTAAGGTCAACCCTGGTACATGAACTGAACTCATGATTTAATATGGTGAAACTATTCCTTTAAAAAAAATTTTTTTTAAGAAATATTTTACATCTAAAAGTCAAATCAGTGTAACATTTGGAGAGCTGGTTCTACTCTTTTTGTCAATTTTCTGTTGTTTTGTGGTGTAAAACTGAGTTGTTCAAGCATAACACGTCAACCCTGTTACCCATAGATAGACAAATATATAAAATTATATGTAATGTGAAATTAAATTGCCACTCCCTGTTGCACACAACAATCTTCCATTCCCCCTGTCACAATGGCTGATTTAAGATAAAATGTTTGGGCATAACTGGACTTCATCACTTCCCTGATTACTCCCCCTTTATCTAGCACTCCGTTGTTGTCACTCTTCAGGCAGTATTGTTTCTGTTTTATGTTCAGACGCTACACTTGTGTCTGTATCCACTCTATGTTTGTTCTTATTAAACTCACAGACTGCACATGCTTCCTGACTCTCTGCGTCTTCGTTACAGAATACTGCCTCTCAGAATGGAAGCAGCAACCAACCAAGTCATCTCCCAGATGGTCGGGGGACCTACTTCGCTAACACCACGACCAGCTGGCGCAACTGGGGACGGCTATGGATGAGGTCCTCCGTGTTCTTCATCGTCTAGATGTTCCTCAAATGGCGTCACTCCCAACGAGCGGAGGATCTTCTACCATGAGTCGACCCAGCGAGCCAGCACCCCAGCCCATTCAGCAGTCTTCCCAAATCAAATCAAATCACATTTTATTTGTCACATACACGTGTTTAGCAGATGTTATAGCGGGTGTAGCGAAATGCTTGTGCTTCTAGCTCTGACAGTGCAGTAATATCTAACAAGTAATATCTAACAATTTCACAACATGTACCCAATACATACAAAACTGGTAAGGAATGGAATTTAAGAATATATACATAAATGACAGAGCGGCATGGACTGAGATACAGTAGAATATTATAGAATAGAATACAATATATACATATGAGATGAGTAATGCAAGATATGTAAACATTATTAGTGACTAGTGTTCCATTTCTTAAAGTGGCCAGTGATTTCAATAGGCAGCAGCATCCTCTAATGTGCTAGTGATTGCTGCACCCAGGTCATCAATGCTTGTTTGTCCCTCCCGGACAAATATGACGGGACTCCATCCAAATGCCGTTGCTTCCTCCTTCAGTGCTCATTCTATTTTTCTCATCAAACGGGAGCCCACAACACCGAGAGGTCCAAGGTTGCCATGGTTATTTCCGTCTCCTGGGGTAGGTGGAATTTTATTGACCAGGCCCTTGCGTCCTCCCTGAACATAACATCATACCCGCTCTCCTCTCCGTTTCCAGTTCAAGTGCTGGACAACCGACCAATGGGATCTAAGACAATCACACACATCACAGCACCACTCACCATCACCGTTGGTCCCCTGCACCAAGAAACCCTCCCCTTCCTCATCATCCAGGCCTGGGCACCTGAATGTCAGAAGACCTGCTTTCCCTTACCCTGTGATTCCACGTCAGTTGAGAGTCCTGTGGTTACCCTCCGGGCCGACATCCCAGAGGTTTACCAGGAGCTCCGGGAGGTTTTCTCCAAGACCCGTGCCACCTGTCTCCCTCCTCATCACCCCTGGGCCTGTGCCATCGACCTGCTAACAGACTCTGCACCTGTCGGTGGCTGAAACCAAGGCTATGGAGGAGTACATCTAGGAGGCTTGCCAACAGGGTTTCATCCGTCCGTCCACCTCTCCTGCGTCGGCAGGTTTATTTTTCATGGCCAAGAAGGAGGGAGGTCTTCGTCCATGTATTGACTACAAAGGTCTCAATGTCATCACCACCAAGTATCGCTACCCCCTCCCGTTGGTTCCGGCCGCCATTGAACTGCTCCGCGGGGTGATGCCTTATGGATAAGCCAATCTTCCTTCGGTGTTCCAGGCATTTGTGAACGAGGTGTTTCGGGACATGCTTGGGCGTCAGGTGGTCGTGTATATCGACGACATGCTAATCTACTCGGCAACCTTGGAGGAACACATCACCCACGGCCGGGTAGTCCTGGAATGCCTCCTGGAGAACCATCTGTACGTCAAGGCGGAGAAGTGCCAGGTCCATCAGGCCGCCGTCTGCTTCTTGGGATATCGGATCAGCCAGCAGGGAGTGGTTATGGAGTAGAGGAAGGTAAATGCAGTCAGGTCATGGCCAGTCCCAACCACTATAAAGGGACTACAACGGTTTTTGGGGTTTGCCAACTTCATTAGGAACTTCAGCTCCATCGCTTCTCCTCTCACCTCTATCCTCAAAGGTGGTCCCCGTAAGTTGATTTTGGAATCCTGCAGCCAATGAGGCCTTCCGCCTACTGAAGGGTCATTTCGCTACACCCGCTATAACATCTGCTAAACACGCGTATGTGACAAATAAAATTTGATTTGACCGCCGCCCAGTTGCTGAAACACCCAGATCCTACGCTGCCCTTCATGGTGGAGGTGGACGCCTCACAAGTGGGCATGGGGGACATCCTGTCACAACATGAAGGTAATCCACAAATGTTGTATCTGTGTGCATACTACAAACAAACCAAAAAGTATCCTGCAGAAAGGAACTATGACGTCGGTGATCGGGAGCTCCTGGCGGTGAAGTTGGCATTAGAAGAGTGGAGACACTGGCTGGAGGGCGCCATGGACCCGTTTCTCATCCTCACCGACCATCGGAAACTGGAGTACATACGGACAGCTGAACCCGCACCAAGCAAGGTGGGCCCTTTTCTTTACTAGATTCAACTTCACCCTGTCATACAGCCCAGGTTCAAAGATCATCAAAGCCGATTCCCTGTCCCGTCTCCACGATTTGGGAGAGGTTCCGGTCATGAGCGTGCACATCATACCGTCCTCCCGAATCATTGCCCCTGTGCTTTGGGACATAGACGTGGACATACGCCAGGCACTGGAGAGGGAACCTGCACCTGCTACCTGTCCTCCGGAGCGCACCTACGTTCCCACGGAGGTAAGGGATCGGCTATTGGCCTGGGCGCACACATCCCTTGCCGCCGGACACCCAGGTATCAACCGCACCACTCAATCCATCTCCGTTAATTACTGGTGGCCCACCTTGGCACAGGACGTCGCCCGCTACGTCAACTGCTGCTCCGTATGTGCTCATAGTCTCCCCGGCATGCTCCAGCAGGGAAACTCCTTCCCCTCTCCATGCCTCAGCGGCCTTGGTCCCATCTGTCTTTAGATATTGTTACTGATTTTCCCATCTGATGGTTTCACCACTGTTATGGTTGTTGTGGACAGATTTTATCCCTCTCTCTGGTCTCCCTACCACTCTCCAGGTCCCTGAGCCATTGTTCCAGCAGCTCTTCCGGCACTATGGCCTTCCGGAGGACATCGTCTCCGACTGTGGTCCCCAATTCACATCGCAAGTATGGAAAGCCTTCATGGAGAAGCTGGGGGTCACGGTCAGCCTCACATCCTGTAGAGATAGCCTGCAGAGCTCTATCATACTATCCAGGTCTGTGCCCAAACAGTTTGAGCTTCTACTTCTAAAAATTCACCTTTCCAGAAATAAATCTCTCACTGTTGCCGCTTGCTACAGACCCCCCTCAGCCCCCAGCTGTGCCCTGGACTCCATATGTGAATTGATTGCCCCCCATCTATCCTCAGAGTTCGTACTGCTTGGTGACCTAAATTGGGATATGCTTAACACCCCGGCCATCCTACAATCTAAACTAGATGCCCTCAATCTCACACAAATTATCAACGAACCTACCAGGTACAACCCTAAATCCGTAAACATGGGTA